ATTATTACACCCTGAAGTCCCAAGTTTCAACATTAGGGACTTAACCAAAACCAGATTGAAAATGTCAGTTTGTACTTGTCTGGGGCATAAAATGGTACCCCAAATCCAAGAGTAGCATTGATACCATTAGTTGAGATCAAATAGTTTCCATATGAACCTCATATATTGGGAAGGATAATATATTGATACACAGGGAACGGTTTTTCTTTCCAATGATGAGGTCCCAAAGCCATGCTGACCACTAGGCACAAAGCATCAATTACAGCAGCTCCCTGTAGGGTTGATTATGCGTCAATGTTGGGGCTCAAGAGCCAAGGAAGCTGTCCTTGTAGCTGACTGAACTGAGAACATAGAATTTTCAAAGAATACCTTAGTGCTGTATTATTATAACTACAGTGTGCATGGGTGTATTATTTCATTCACTTGAAACTTATAATGCTATGCTCACCACCATCAACATGCTTATGATGTGAGGCATTAGGATACGTCCAAACAGGGATTTGCATGATGGGCATTAGTGGTTGCACATTTACACTCACAGAAAGTGCATGCGTTTTGCAAACAGACGCAGTCTTTAGGTAACTTCTGAGGCTCCAAAGGGGGAAGGGAGTGTTAAGACCCCATTGTATCTTAAAGCACCTGACACCCCTCCCCCCGCTTTTTATTACTCTTATTAAACAAAAATAGTACTTCCGATCTGAAAACTTTGCTTAAACAGTACAAATGTTACAACACAGTTGAGCAAAGTAGTGAAGACCTGAGAGAAGCCCTTCCTGCAGGGTGGCTCAGGAAATGGTAAAACGAAATGCTGGGATGGGGAGAGACCTCAGTCAGAAAGTACGGCTTCAGATTTAAAAGACTCTTTTCCTGAGCAGTGAACAGTGGGGCTTATTTTACCCAACTCTTCAGGGTCTTCATCAGCCATCCTGCCCATCAGGTACAGCCTTCAGTCCTAGAACTTAGCTCAGTCAGAGACGATGTGATGTGACGCAGGTACTCCCAAGGCAACCTCCCCTGACTGGCAGGTGTGTCCATCCACTTGCATGCGTTCTCCCACTGTGCCAGCTATTGCCTTTCTTTCAACAAGCCTGAAGTACAAGGGTTCCTGGGGTGGGGGTTATTATTTTTCTTTTATGGCTTATCACTGTCTCTAATTTGGCCTTTTCCAACACAGGATACATTTCCTTAGCATATTACTTGAAAATATCAAAGGAAAAACAAGACAGTTCCCAGAAAACCATAAACCTGATTCTCTCTTAGACTCAGACTAAGGGAATCACCAGAGGTTCATTAGACTTCTGTGACACTTGTCTCTCTTAGACTCAGAGTCTAAGAGAGACAAGTGTCACAGAAGTCTAATGAACCTCTGGTGATTCCCTTAGTAAACCTCTTAAACAAACAGGAATAGCAGATGCTAAATTACAATGAGAAGCTTTGGACAGTTTTGAAGGCACCATTGAAGAGCTATTACGATGTTAAATCTTTTTTCCCCTAAGAAAGCATGTAAATGTGATCCTCGAATTTCTCATTAGTTTCCGCTGTTAGTGCCTTATTCAGATTAATTTTCAAGTCCCATCATCTTGACCCGGAAACCCACCTGTGTAACTTCTCAAAACAAAACAAAACACCTTACTGTTATTGAGTCAATTCCGCCTCACAGCGCCGCTGTAGGACAGAGCCGAACTGCCTCGGCGGGTTTTTGAGACTGTAACTGTTCATGGGAGTAGCTCAGAGCATACATGCATACAGTAGCTCAGAGTATACACGCATACAGTAGCTCAGAG